CTAAACCCTAAATCCTAAAACCCTAAATCCTCAAAACCTAAATCCTAAACCCTAAATCCTAAAACCCTAAATCCTCAAAACCTAAATCCTAAACCCTAAATCCTAAAACCCTAAATCCTAACCTCCCCCTCAGGTGCACGAGAAGGGCATTCTGTTTCCAGCCACAGCCGCAGCTCTGATACCCATGGAGCCTGGGACTTTGTTTTAGAAAATAGGGTTTAGGGGTTTAGGGGTTTAGGGGTTTAGGGGGAGTTCAATTTGGACCCCAAAATATGATCATCCTTGTTATAGGACCCCTAAATGTACCCTTTTATTGTGAAAAAGGAGCAGTTGAAGGAAACTGGAAGTTTATGCACCCACCAGGCCTGATATTAATTCCCTAAGCCTTAAACCCGAAGGCCCAAAGCCTCAAACCTTAATTGGTAGTTTCCCAAAATAGGGGACCCCAACATAGACTCCAATTCATTTCCATCCTTAATATGGGGACCCCCAACATGGGACCCCCAACCCTAAACCCTAAACCGCCCCCTCCCAATTTCATCTACACCAGCAATGGTCCAGGCCTTGCCAGCGAGGCACGCGCCCATAGCGGTACTGGCAGCAAGGCACTTCCAACTGGTGGCCCTCTTCTCCATGTGCCTGGTCTCATGAGAGCTGTAGTCTAAACTCCTTAAAGCGGTTCTTTGGCGGATTATTAAATAGGGGACTGATATAGGGAGTATGAAGGGGGATACTAGGAGTTTAGACTATAGCTCACAAAAGCTAGCGTCCTTTCTGGGTCCGTATCATGGGGATTTTCGTAGAATTTCGGCAGTGTTTGGGGGGACCTTTGTTCAATCCCTATGTCCCTGACCCCAGGACCCCCCAAAAGAGATTCTATGAGAGGAACATGCGGGGTATATAGGGGTTATAGCCCCCCTCAAGTAGATAGAATATGGGGTATGCGGGGATCTTACTATATGCCCAAAGCCATATTCTACCTACTTAAGGGGGACTATATACAAGGCTTACAAGGTTTAGAGGTCTTCCATGTTGTGGCCCTCGTCTCAATGTGCCGCGTTTCCAAGAACATCATCATAATAGGCATTACCCCAAGTCCAGGGAGTATGCAGGCAAACCTTTTAATAGTAAGGGGATCTCAACCTACAATAAAATGCGATGCATATGGACTCTGCAGAAATAGTAAGCAGGGTTTCCCCCTACACTAATAAGCAATTAATACAGTGGACTGCTGCAGACTAATCCTGGCTCGTTTTTCTATTCTTCTAGTGGGTTTAGACCCTCTCATGCAAGCTCTTTAAGAGGTAGTTCAGGAAGCATATGCAAGCATAGCCGAAGTAGATTTCCCAAAAATGCCTCTGCCTTTTGCAGTCCTCTTTGACCCCCAAATTGGCCAAAACAAGTTCTTTTAACCTGGTGGCTTTGTTGAGCTGGGTTGTCAGATGCTCCTACACGGGAACTACAATTGTCAGAACTGTCCGTATGATTTATCCATGCTTGCATTCTTCTCCACATGACCCGAGCCTGTCACCAGTCCTGTCTGCACACCTACTTTTGTGGCCCTGCTGTCGGCACATGCGCTGCGACATCCAAGCCGGGGATTGATCAGAGTGCATGGTATGACCCATCTTCTTGGCCAAGTCCCACATGTTCTGTTGCCTCAACTGGCTTTCCATCTTCATGCAAGCGTGGCAAGGTATCCCTTGATGGTCAAAGACTCTCTTGTCATTCCCTACGCCTTGGCATGCCTGTTTCTAGTGGCCCTCTGTGAGGCCAGCTGGCTGCTTGAGAGTCAGAGACTTGCGTGGATGGCATAAGAATCTTGAAGTGCGACTTTGCTAATCTTCTACGTGGTTCGTGTCGGGGTGTAATAGTGGCGTGGGTAGATGTCTAGCCTTTGCAAGTGGAGTGCGCTGCCCATGAGCGTATCTTTTTCCATGCTCTGATTGCTGCACGTTCACTCCGGATCCCGTGAGGCGGCACCAACCTCAAGTGCGAGGCCATTTCTGAGGCTTACGGAATGGGGGCTCAGGGCGGTCCAAACAGGCTTGCATGATCTCATGCCATGTTTGCGCTGTCAAGAAATCTTTCATACTTCATGCTGCAAAGGTATTCCTACCTCGTGGGCATTGTTCTCCATGCTATCCATGCCTTCGTTCCTGCCCCTGCACGGTATCCGGATCTATGGACGATGCTAATTACCAGCGCGAGCTGCGGCAGCCATGATTGCAAAGAGAGCTCAGGGTCGTCGTTGCAGATGGTTTTACATGTAGCCCTCTGCTGCCTAGCTCTCCCCACATGCCTGGCAACTCGAAACGTACGTAGTTCCTGTATGGGCGGGACAAGAGCCTTAGCCGATGATTGGTCATGACCCGGCACTCTTTTGTTGATGATCGCTGGCCTTGCGGATTCAAATTAAGGTTACTTTATGTGTTCCCTCATCGTGGTCACCGTGGGACAGGTGAGGGGCCTCTTCAGTGTCGCGGAAGACAGTGACACAGCGAAACCGAAAGAGCAGTAATGGGGAAAAAGGATCTTCACATGGCAACTATGCTTGCTGCTGGATCGCCAGCTGCTAGTTACCAACATCTGGGGTGCCTCTACACTGTCATCCCTCTTATGAAGATTCTGCCCCAACAGGGCGGAACTTCCCCCCCCCCCCAACGCTTAAGTGCACCAAGTTGTTTCCCCTTCTCCTGCAGGACTTTGCCTCTTGCGATTGATGAAACAACACGGTATATGGTAGTTTCCCGAAATAGGGGGACCCCAATATAGACCCCAAAATACTATAGTCCTTATTATGGGGACCCCAAAAAGGTACCCCTAATTTTGGGAAATCCCTATATGGGGTTCCGAGTTTCTCAGAGCTTAGAGGTTTTTAGCGACACCATAACATTGCTTTCGTTGGTAGATGAAGGATCCCAATTTACCCCCGCAGTGTACGACTCTGCGTGAGGAGCGAGCCCTTCGCAAGGCTGTGGAAACGTCTGGGCCTTTGATATTTTGTTACTAGGGTTAAGGGTTTAGGCTTTTGAAATTGTTTCCCAAACCCCCTATTTTGGGAAGCTACCATTTTGGTGCAGCATTTTTTGAAATTAAGGCTTCCATTTCCGGGTCCTTGCAGCAGGGTTATGTCATCTAGGCAACCAATTCTCATCTCAGCGTAGCCTTGTTGCAGTAACGCTACCACGGGTAGTCGAGAATTGTCATCAAAGTTAAAACACAGCTAAATTGGGGCACATATCTTCGCGCTCGATGCTATTGCCATAAATAGGGTGGCCAGATCCAGAACCCAATATATTGGAGTACTTATTATAGGTATCCTTAATTTTGGGAACCCTAAACCCTCTACATATCCCTATATAACCCCTATGTCCCCCTTTAAAGGACCTGCAAAAAGGTACCCTACCCCCAAAAGGTATTCTTAATTTCGGAAAACATCCAGGCTTCTTTTTTGAGCGTTTGACACGAGGATGGCTGCTGTCATGGGATTCTGCACTGCCCCAGCCCCTTACTCACCCTCTCCCAAATAAGCACGTAAGCCCTAAGTAGGTGTCAAATCTAAATGGCATTATTTGGGGTTTACTTTGAAGGTTGTAAAGAGGTTCTACTACTACTACTACTACTACTACTACTACTACTACTACAATTTTTCAAGCAAAGAATCGCCTGGGAGGTAGATCAAAAGATCTGACAGGACCACCGAAAGGCGCATGAACACCTGCAAATGACATAAACGCGGGTTTCCCCAAATTTGGGTACCTCTTAAGGAACTTACAGGCGAAATGTAGAGGCATATGAGAAAAAAAAGTTTAGTGTCTAGGGATGAAGGTTTAGAGTTTAAGGTTTCCCCAAGCTTGGGGTACCTTTTGGGCGTGCCCGTGAGGATTGTAGTATTTTGGCTTCTATATTGGGGTTCTCGTATTTTGGCGAACTACCACATGAGCCTGGGCTATGCAATCTGCTCTAACCTTCGGTGCAGAGTCTCAGGGCTTAGGGTTTAGTCCAGGCTAGTTGCAGGTGAGAATGTACTGGGCAGGGTGACGAGCTGAGAAACACCTGCACCTCATGTTCATTACACGAGTAATACTGCTAGTAGTAGTTCGAGTAGAAAGACAATAAGAATTACAATAAGCGGAATCATAGAAACAAAAGTAGCAATAACAACAATATCACAGTACGGTCAATTAGTATGATAAGAAATTCTATCAAACAAGAAATGAGACCCTGCATCCACTCAAAACATATTTAAGAGTCTCACTCGGCGAAAAAACTTAGGTTCGCATCAAAAGTTTAGACTTGAGGGTCTGGCAGGGGCTGGGGAGGCTCGGAAGGCCCGGATTCCTGGACAGGTTCTGCGAGGCCCTCACAGAGAGCGAAACGAATTAGTGGCAGCCACTAATTCGTTTTAGCGTTTCGCAGGGGGTGGGATTCGAACCAGTGACCTTTGTGGCAGCCACTAATTCGTTTTAGCGTTTCGCAGGGAGGTGATTCGAACCAGTGACCTTTGTGGCAGCCGCTAATTCGTTTTAGCGTTTTGCAGGGGGTTGTGATTCGAACCAGTGACCTTTGTGGCAGCCGCTAATTCGTTTTAGCGTTTTGCAGGGGGTGTGATTCGAACCAGGGACCTTTAGGTTTAGAGTTGAGGGCCTGGGATGGGCTGGGGAGGCTCGGGAGGCCCTGGGATTCCTAGAGAGGTTCTGAGAAGCCCTCACAGAGAGCAAAACGAATTAGCGTCGGTAAAAAAACAAAATAACCATAATAACAATAATACTATTCGCAATAATAATAACTGACAAAAATGATTCATAGCAAACCCATTTAAACATTCAACCCTAAGCCCTAAAAACTAAAGCCTAAACCCTAAACCCAAAACCCTAAACCCTAAACCCAAAACCCTAAACCCTAAACCTACATGAGCGCAGAAAGCTCAGCCTTGCAGTTCACACCTTCATAGCCGCGGCTGCTGCCCAGTGCGAAGCAGGCGGGATCTACAAGGTGTCCAAGCTTCCTCGGTCTGGGTCGATTAGGGTTTAGTTTTTAGGGTTTAGGGTTTAGGGTTTAGTTTATAGGGTTTAGTTTTTAGGGTGTTTTTTAAGGGTTCAGCCCAGACAGGGTCCAGCATTGCTGGGAACATAAAACGTAACTTGTACATCTCCTGTGTAGCCCCCCTGATCTGCGCCAACTCAAGACGTGCTTAAATGGTACTTTCCCTTTATAGGAGGGTTCAATATAAACCCGGAAATACTGGAATCCTTATCAGAATGAATGCCCACCCCCAAAAAAAAAAACACAAATTTGGGAAACCTCTAAATGAGATTAGCGTCCCCAGAAGCCAGGAGTGGAAAGCAGTCAGCGGCGGGTAGTCCAGACCCCAGTACCTTGAGTCGTGCAGGTGAAGCAGGACTTCTGCTATGAGGATAGGGTTTAGAGTTTTTTTTGTTAACAGGACCTTTTCTCCAGGGATTAAGGTTTAGGGTAACACTGTGGATAGCGGATAGCACTTATGACCACGACCAGAACTGAAATGGAAGACTGAAAGGCGGCAAGAATGATTGCATCAATGGGCATGAAAGCAGTAGTTGCAATAACATCAACAATATCGCCAGGCATGGACGAAAAAGAATACAGTCGCTCTGAGACGAAACCAAATTCAGAACAACAAGACACCGACAAGATGAAAAAAAACATATGAACTAGAATCTAAACTCATACTATGTCCCTTAATAACTAGTCCCCTATATAATCCCCGATATAACCCCCTTCAGGGGGTTTAGACTATAGCTCATATAAGCCTAGTAGCGGCTCAACAATACATCCAAGCTTGGGTCGAGCGACTGTAGGTCATTGTCCACCGTCTGCTCATACCAGTCATGAACAGGCAGCGAGGTTGTTATCTCCATCCAGTGCCGTTGCGCCTGCAACGAGTAGAGAGGCAACAGTCTTTGTTTGGGTATCGAGACACAATCATTCGCAACACTAACAAAGCATAATTGCTTCCCGCTGCATTCTGGAAGTCTATCAGGATGCAGGTGACTTATGAAGTGTATGCCCCGCATGCCTCGTAGTCACCAAACATGGGCGGCTTGCCCTGCAGTTTCATCGCACCGGAAAATTAAAGTCTGCAAGTGAGATATGCGAAGACATGCTGCCGGGCAAACCAATTGCTGCGGATGTTTTTCCGAACGACTGCTCACTCGCAGAATTAAGCCTTCGGCTTGACACTTCTGCCTGGCTCGGACTTGCCAGCAAGAGGACTTCCTGTGATGATGAGATGTCCTCTCCTTTGGAGAGTATCCCGAGTGTCTCTGGTACCGACCTGCTGTCTGGTTTGTCAGCTGATCCTTCCATTTCACAGGAACCTTGTGTCGTATGTCACTAGACTTGCTGCTGCAAAATGCGCAGGAACTCTGCTGCCTCTTCCATCCCTTCGTGCTTGGCCACATCAAGCGGCGTCCTACCATCACAGTCGGCATGTCCCGGGTCTGCTCGCAGGCCCATCAAAGCTGCAATGATCTCTACGTAGCCATACTCAGCGGCTCTGTGTAGGGGAGTTTTTTCGTTCATGTCCTTGCCGTTCACATCTGCCCGGTTTTCCACAAGGAGTCTCACAGTCGGCTCACGGCCCCACTCCGCTGCAACATGAAGAGCAGTGGATTTGCTTTCGCCATGCTTTCCATGCAAGTCAGCTCGCAAAGACAAGAGCATTCGCACGCAACCATCATGCCCTCCGCCGCTGGCTACACTCAGAGGGTGTTCCTCTGCGTCTGTCGTGATCCAGGGATCTGCCCGATAGGACAGAAGCAAGCGGCCAACGCTTTCGTAGCCTGTAGACATGGAGCAGAAGAAGGGTGTTTTCCCACCATCAGCAGTGACATTTGGCAAAGCTTTATGCTTCAGCAGAAGCTCCACACAATCCAGGTGTCCGCAGAAGCTTGCCGAAAGAAGAGGGGATGGAAAGGGGCCACTGGCGCTGCAATTACGGTCTTCGACGTGGGGGAGCAATGCCTCCAAGACCTCGCGATGTCCAAAGATGCTTGCTGAAGTCAGCATGACCAAGTGCACCTTCTGCCCAGGTTGGTCGAGCAAGATGCGGCAGCATTCTACACTGCCGCTGAATGCCGACAGCTCAAGTGCGTTTGGTATCGGTCGCGTAGTCCATGGTATGCGCTCCCGCTCCAAGAGGTCCACGTCATGGTCAAGGCTCCCACCCCTTGCAAGCAAGTGGGCGAGGGCCTCATGGTGACCTGCTGTGAACATCAGAACTGGTTGACCCACAGTCTTCCTCGAACCCTTCAGTCAACCCAGACCTCATATGCAAGGAACCCCAAAACCCTCACAAGAATCTGCAACGCCAACAAGTCCTGTAGGCGCAAGTGAGCGTGCTTGATTTAACATGAAAGACCTTTGATGCTGCTACCTGTGGCTATCACAACACAATAATCCACTCGGAAGCACCTGTAACAGCCGAGAGCATCCATGGCGTGAGAAAGTTCTTGTCGCGCTCCTTGGCTGCTCTGGCACGACGAGGATTTTCATGAGCTACGATTGTAAGGCTTCGGGCATGTGACAAAAACATGAGCTCGTCCTGCCGTCAGAATTCGTCAACACTCACATCAACATGCACCTGCTGACTTCGGCAGTCCAGCTAGCTCCATGCAACTAAGCTGCAAACCTAGAACACACAAACCCCCTGAATAGTTCAAAGGACAAGGAGCATTGGCGTCCATCTTAGCGCTGAGAAGCAAGTCCAAAACATCCATATGCCTGGGCAGGTCAAATATGAGCTTCAAACAAACCAGCGCAGTGTGCTGTAATCTTGAAACCAACAAAGCTGGATGCAGCAACCCCCCTACCCTGATGAAGATTTTACTGTCTCGGGAGCCATAGGGTTCGACGGACATTAGGAAATCAGTTCCAGCCAGTTTGCTGGTTGTAGGCGGCAGCCACATGAAGAGGCGTCTGGCCAAGGGAATTGCAGCTCTTCAACTCCTCTCAGTCAGCAGAAAGAAAGCCTCCTACTATCCGGAGAATGTCCTCAAATGCATGTTTCCAAGGACATTCTACAAGTGCCACTCTGCTGCCTCAGGATCTGCAGCCGCCAAAGCCAGCCGAACCTGTTTGGGCAATCTGGCTTGGACCCTTCACCAAACGAAAACTGTCTTGTGCTCGCAGCAGCTGCCCTGTTCAAAAGTAGGCACTAAAGGCTCTCAAGAGCTTGGAAAGCTTCAAGCCACAAAAACCACCCTAAACCCTAAACCCTCCTCCAAAAAGCATCCTTAACCAAAGTACCTCATCTGGCCCCTTCCTTTGAGCCGCACTGTGTAGCATAGTCCGGCCCTCGAAGGTGACCTGATTTTCTGGGCTGGGAACTACCGTCTCCGCTATTGCCTAGCTATCTACCTTATATGGTAGTTTCCCAAAATAGGGAATAGGGGGACCCCAATACCCTAAACCCTAATCCCTAAACCCTATTTTCAAGGCACCCCTAACTTTGGGTATACCTACCTACCTACCTATTCACCTATCTATCTGCATAGGTGCATTCATACATACGTGGGCATCATTGCGCACCTACAGACAGACTCTAGTCCAGTAGGTTAGGAATGCTTCTGTGTGCATCCAGGCGACGAGCATCGTGCCCAGCTGATGCAATCGAAAGATCTGGTGTTTCAGCTCCTGAGTCGGGACCTACCCAAAGCTGGCACTTAAGGACCCACGAGTGGGTCGGGGTGATGCATATGGTTCTATGACAGTAGAGGGTACTGTTCGCATGTACAGGCAGGAAGCTCTATGTTCTGAGCTTAAACTGTCTCAGCTTACAAAACCTTGCCCATCATGCATGTTGAGAGTTGAGGACTTGGGGCCTATGAGTTGTGAGAAGTGGATATAACCCCTATACCTATAACCCCAAGCCTGGTTCGGCAAAAGCTTTGCCAAGGCTCTGGAGCATCCATGGCAAGCTGCTCTCCGCCCCGTGTCCTTCTTAGGAGCAGGTGTACATGGGGGTTTCCCAAACTTAGGGGTACCCTTTTGGGGGACCCCATTATAAGGATTATAGCATATTAGGGTCTAATATGAGGGTCCCGCTACTCTGTAAAATTACCAAATCTCACACAGCAAAGGGCTCTGATGTCGATTCTAAATGGGATGAGAACAGAAACGGCTTATTGACGGTGACTGCACCAATCATGAGACCGGAGCACACCAATTCACATTTACTTCAGCCCTACAGCCACGTGGACGCCTGAAGGCCCGCATCAGCAGCGACGTCACGTGCATTCCAAACTGCTCCAGGCCAACTGCCTTGTCAGGGATGCATGTCAAAGCTTTCGATCATGAGTGAAGCTTATCTGTTTCTTCCAATATTAATACTGTTATTACTACTATTCCTCCTAGCACTACTATTACTACTATGACTACTATTCCTACTGCTGTTTGAGCAGTGGGCCCAACCTGGTCAATTTCTTGCATGATCATGCGCCGGTCCTGCTCCTGGCTTGCCTGTGCTGTGGAAGCATCGATCTCCAGGACTCTCTTCGTCAGTCTCAGGAGATCATTCCTTTGCTCCCCTTTCGGCTCGTCACTGCCAAAGGTTAGGACTCCGTTCTCCGTCGCAATGTGGAAGGTCTTCTTGAGCGCGTGCGTGCGAAGCACCTCGTAGAGGCACCTGGCAGCAAACTTGTTCTGAAACAGGCAAAGCCGAAAGCTCTGAAGGCAAATAAAAACCTGCCTACGACGTATGTGTGCATGCCGCACTAAGTTATTGTCGGCATAGATCAAACTAGATCTTTCAGCAAGGGATAAGCAACCTCAAACGCAATGAAGAAACATACGACGAGAGCGCGCAGAATCCAACTCCAAACCATCCTGACCCATGAACATCTACAGCTGTCATTTAAAGCTGTGCCCTTCAAGAAGGGGGATGGACACTTTCTCACAACAAAACCGTCTGCCACCACAGGCACCATATGCGCTGCAGTGGGGTAGCATCTGGATCCATGATCATGACCACATGCGTGCATGTTGGGGCTGCCAGCGCCCTCTCAAAAGGGCTTTCTTGCAAGGTGTTTCCCAAGTTGACCTCCCACTGTCGATTGGCAAAAGAGCAAACCCAGAAGGCAACATGTTCCTCGGGAGTAACTTCGCAGAGAGCAAGCGGATGGGCTTGAATGGTAAAGACCTTCGCAAAGAGACGCAGGGCTTGAACGAAACTGACGAACTCCTCTCCCCACCAGTGACTCACAAAGACCTGCGGCGCCAGAGGCTCCAAAAGCTCGGCATAAGCCACGAGTTTTGCCCTGGTTCTGGGCTTGATAATTTCAGCAACCACGTCATACATGTTGGGCCGCTCCATCCGTCCAGTATGAGGATTCCAGCGTGCAGTGGACAGCCACGGCTTGTTTTCCACAACAAGGCGCTTGAACTCATGCAGCGGGACCCCCGACTGCTCAGGAGCCCTGGGAGGACCGGGCACAGGCAGAGGAGGAAGCGCTTGAAAGAGCCACTGGACAAAGGGCACCAGCGGCACCGTCTGCAGCCTGTCAGCACTCGCACCACTGGCGTCGAAGCCTTCGCGAAGAAACGCCACTTCACTGCTTGACAGTTGGCATGTCTCCTGCAACAGCATGCTGATGGCAGACTCCGCCATGAGGGCTCCATGCTTGGCAACCCAAGCTTCGCACTGATTCAGAACTGCTTCCGACATTGCAAACCAAGACCTTTGGACCTGACCCGGACAGGTGCTGGAGCCGAACGCCGCAGAGTCATGTAAAAGAACGGAGCTTGCATACAAAATGCTGCAAGCATGACAGGCAGTTCAGATTAGCATAGAGCCTGGCCCGAATGCGGACAGAATCCAAGCACCTGAGGCTGCTGTCTACAAGGTCCATCCGTGCACAGAAGCTCAGCGCTGACAAATGGAGCCAAAGCACACATCGAAGAATTATACCCGCGGTGACTCCAGCCACAAGGGGGGCAGCACCATGAGTTGACATGGCTATGCTCAGCAAACACCGGGCGTGATTGAATGGATATCCGCATCACTAAGCCTGGGCCATCATGGCATCTTATGGCTTCGTAGTTGCGCAATCATGCCTAAGGGACTGCATCCGGAGCTTCATGCATGTCAAATGGCTGCAAAGTGAGAACTTATGCTTCCTAAACTCCTCAACCCCAAACCTTGACCTTCCCTGTACACCAAAAAGCCCCTGAAAACATCTGAAAACCCGGCACCCTAAACTAACCCTGGGCTCAAAACATCCCAAGCATGGCTGCTTCTGCGTGCGAGGTTCTCTGAAGTTTAAAACAAAACGAATCTTGGAAAGATCGAGCACAAGAAATGTGACTTCTCCAATATCTACATCATCTTCATGTAAGGACTGTCTTCTTGGAGGCTCCCATATCATACCTAAACGTCTGAGTTGAGGCAGAAGCTCCTGGATGCGTCCCTCGCGCTTAGCATCGACGCACTGAAACCAAGCAGTTACCATGTCGCCGTACTTTTGCAGCAAGGCGAGCTTGAACGTGCCTGGGTCGTGACTTTGGGTTTCGGCTTGGCTGGCATCTATGCGCGAAGACAATCGCGTCTCGTGAGACTCATGGCTGTTATGTCAGTGCTATCTTGCTGTTTATTTGGAACAATGCCATCCTTTGCAATTTGCTGCTAAAGCGAGCTAGGAGATCTACGAATAAGCATTTCTCTGCAGCTTGATGTTGTCTAAACTGGCTGACCCGTGCCACTCGCGGTAAGACTTGGCTCCTTGCCAATGTAGTGGCCGACATCTGAGTCAACCTCCATAAGCGACACCTGCAGCAGCTACACGCGGCATTCTCTCCACGGTCCCTACCTCTCCTTTTGATTTTCCTGCTCGATACCCGTGGCTGTGTTCACATATATGTGTAGAACATAAGTCCAAGGCAGATCTGAAGCGCCAAATGATTTCCAACCAAGATCCTAAGCATCCAAGGCAGGCGCCATGCCAGTTTTTTTCTCGTCTAGCTCGGCCCACAGCCTTGGCAAGCGACATGCCATGTCGTGGGTTTGAAGCGCCATTGGCTGCTCATGCGCCGTAATCTTCTGGCAGTTGAGCGTAGCTGAAATGACGCTCTCTTCTACCCCAGTCTGGTGCTCATCATAAATCCATTATTATATTGGGGTTATATGGGGATAGTGTAAAAGAAAATGGAAGCCACTAATTGGGGTTATGTTGGGATACTGGAAAAAAATGGAAACTACTAGGTCCGCGGCCGATTCCCGCCCGTAAGGGAATTTGAGGGAAANNGCCTGCGTGGTATTTCGTGTACTTGCAAGCATGTGAAGTTGAACCAGGTACGAACAAAAAGTAGTAGTTTGCGAGGGCCGTTTTTATAAACCGTAAGGCCTGAGGAAACGGCAAGGCGAAACAGTCTCCGATGAAGTTTCTCATCTGAAGTAGGCTTTATTAACAAGTCCCTAGTCTGAAACATTCGCTGTGTTTTGAGAAGGACTTAAGAAGACTCTAGTTGCAAATATCCCCCAAGAAGAGTCCAACGTGAAGTAATCTCCAAGAAGACCTCAATTTCTAAGAATCCCTGACAACTGTCAGTTAAAAGTAGCCTCTAACAATTTCCTTGCCCTACCCGAACTACTGCTGCAACCCCAAAGTTGGAAGCCGCCAGAACGTGGAATTTTCTGCGGGCAGCAGGAGACCTGAGCACGAGGTACCTTCAGTCATCGGTGCTACAGCCGAGTCTGAAGGATCGCGGATCTAAGTCTAAGACTTAGGGGCTAGGGCTGAGGTTTGCCTTTCTTCCCGTCGAACTTCTCAGTGACCCTCAATCCTTCAGAGCGGCAAACTCGGCGCCAAGCAGCCTCAAAAATTGAGCCGCGGTCACTGCACCCAAAGATTCCCGCCACATGAACTGCTGAACAAGAAGTTTGAAAAGTTCACTGGGCTTCGCGTCGGCACCTCTTCCCGTCTTCCTAGGCACGTGCTGGCAGAGCCGTTTCAAGGCCAGCCAGGCCCTGTCCAAAGTAACTTCCAGCATGGCATCTCTGTCCTGCGAAAATGCCATAAGGAGATGTGAACACAGAGCCATCAAAACTTAAAAGCAGACATCCTCGACCGAAGTGGAGTAGCCATCATCCGTCGGAGGCTCACTGCCACGTCCATCTGTCGAGGTCGCGGAAAACTCCTCTCGTGCTTCACACACGCAACGACGGGAAGCTCTGCTACAAACGAGAATGTTCATCGCAGAATGCCTCATCTGTGCACAGCAATTCGAAATCCAACGGGTCAGCAAATATGTCCACTGGCATCACATCCGTGCCAGAGCTTTCGCCACCGCCAGAAAGCACATAAGGTTCATCACTGCTTGCCCGCAACTCCTGAAAAAAAAACCAAAGTACTACTCACAAGAATGTACGGTTGACGAGCAGGTATGCAGCTTGGCAGTCCTCATAATGTTATTGGAAGCAGAATATCCTATGTTTCTCTTACACGCCAGTCCTCAGCGGTGATCGGTGCCCAGAAGATGCCCATGGCATCCAAACCCATCATGAAAGCTGTACACAACAGAACCCACTCCCAGGAAAGCTAGCAAGGCAAATGATCAAACGGTGTCTGGTTGAAACGCGCGAAGGCTAAAAGATGTGGTATACAACGTCTACCGTTCAAAGCTCTTTTACCCCAGAGCCTGAGCAGAAGGCAGCAAGCAACAGTGCGATCTTAAGGTTGTAAGGTTCAAAGAAAAGGAGTGAGAGTTGAGAAAAATGACATTATTATGGTTTGGGCAAGGATGC